ACAAACCAAACCACAACAGATACATTCTGAAAGGGGAGGCAAGATCTTGGAGTCTAAAAACATGAATGAAACTGAAGGAAGTCTAACAATTATTAACAGTTTATACGTTTATCAACAGTCTTAAGCAAGGAGGACCTCAAAATAACAATTCATCAGATGCTGGGGGGACTTAAGTAAAAAAAGTTTTTTAAAAAACTTTAAATGGTGATTTATGAACCAGCTTGGTTCGCTTTTGGAGAACTGAGCTTGGATCAAGCCCTCCTATTGGGAGCACCGGGATGAAACAAATCAAACAAATCTACTATATATAGCTTGACATAGCCATTTAAGACACAAATACTATTACTGTAATAAAATTTGACTTGAAAGATACATCCAATGTCATCAGACTACCATTGTAGTTCTAACATATTTTACAATTCCAGCTGTTTTCCAATCCATGTGCAGTAAAAAACAACAACAACAACAAAAAATATTGAAGTAATAATCACCTGTTTTTAAAATAATTCAAAAAGACAAAACCAAACATAAAGAACGTGGAACTGAACTTTCAATTGTGTTTGAACTTTACTTACAATCATTAGAAACATAGCTGTTAAAACATGTTAGAATGTCAGCAGTGTCAAGTTACGAAGTACAAATACTTCATTGCTGTACTTAAGTACACTTTTTATGTATTTATATTTGACTCCATTACTAATTTTTCTTCCTACTTCTGACTTCTACTCATTACATTTTTACACAAGTGTCTCTACTTCTATTCCTTACATTTTTAAAACAAAGGTTACTCGTTACTCCTGGCTTTGGTTTAATGTTTATAAATATTTATTTCAGGTCATGTGCGCCATCCAATGCAGATCATTGGCGCCATCCACATACAGTGAAAACTAGTGTAACTGGATGAGTCATATAATGCAAACACTCATTGGTTAGCTATTCATCAAATTTGTGCTGACGCCAAAGGAAACCATCAGAAAGAAGCAGGTGTTCTTCAAACAGCAAATGCAAATTGTCTATCCCATGCTACAATGTCTGATTCAGAAAAAAGATGTTGAAATGTCTGAAAGGTCGAACACAGGCGAGTGTGTATAGGGAGATGGAGACCAACAAGACCTCCCTCATCCTTGGCCCTATCTCAAAGAATTTTTCGAAATTGTTGAAAAACTGAGCTTTCAATTCATATAGTGGCATCTGGCTTTTTTTTTAAAGGGTACTTTATACTTGTATTCTTAAAGTGCTTTTTCACTTTTCCTTTAATTCTGAGTTTCTTATGATTAGTGAAGGAGCAGCGGCTGATAGATGTAAAAACAGTGGAAATGTAAAGCTCCAATCAGCTATATTTTAAAGTCAAACACTCATTAATTTGTTGCTGAGCTTTTTGCTGCTTAAAGGCGCAAAAAAACAACATAAATATTACAACTGATATTTAATATTCACTTGTTGTTCAAGGTTGCTTACAGTTACCACGGCAGCAAAGCTAGATGCTGAAGGATGTTTAAAAAAAAAGTAAAAGCTTAAAATTTCAAGACACTATTGCTTCAGGATAAATGTAGGAAAATAAAATCAATTGTTGCTAACTGAAGTTAAAAAGGTGAAAATTATAAACTCAGAATTAATGTTCATAATGTTTAGTTGGAAAGCCATCAGGAATTAACTGTACTTTGCATTATTTTTTCTGTGCTCTGATAACTTAATTTTCTCCATTACATCTCTACCACCATTTTGGCACAAGCATCTATGAACAGTCCAATTCTTGAATCAGACCTCTGTGTCTCTTTGATAACCTCTATAGTAGTGAGTGAGATTATATGCACCCTCAGGCATCAACAATTAAAGTGATGTCCTGCACAGCGACTCACAGACCACTATATTTAGTCTCAAGCCCTGGAATGCCATGCTGTAGATAAATCAAAGGAATGTTGATTGCTAAATGTTTCCAAAAAACGTTTAACTGACCTTAAAAGTTACATGACCATAAAGAGTAAAACAAACTTAGTGGTAAAATTGCCAGAATTTGGTCACTTTTGAAAAATATTCAATGGGGACAGCACAACATGCTTCGTCTTTTTTTTTGTACCTCCCACAGGCACAGATGTGTTTTGAAACAGGAATTAAATTAGACAGTGCTTAAGGTAGGAGCAGTGCGCCGACCTGTACTCTGATTTATGAATGGTGACAGTTGTCTCCATCGCTGAGCGTAACATGTACTCGTTCTGAGCTCTGTCCGACAATCACTGTGGGACTTTAGTGCATCAATAGTGCATTATTACTTTTCTGTCTGTTGCCATCAGCAATAACCTATATTTCTCAGGTGTATTTATTCAATGGATGAGGGAGGGAGAGCGAGATGCGTTATTTAGGGTTATTTATGTGTTATTTAGGGTAGGGTTATTTAGAAAATTTGATATAATGCTTCAAACTTCAAATGACATAATGCAACCAAATAGTGGTTAGCTGTTCTACAAATTTGTCACTTTGGGTCCCACATGTACCACTTATAGGACTTTGGAACTACATTGAATCTTGAATTCTACATTGTACTGAAGTACAGTGCTCAGTTTCAGCACCATGGACAGAGCTTAGACAACACTGCTGCTACATTCAACCGTGAGAGCTCCTCAGCTTAAAAACCTTGGACATCACTTTGTCCATTATTCTACCTCCTAGTTTCTTTGCTGTGGGCTCAGAAATATTCAAAGCACTACCAACATTTTGTTTCAATGCTACAGATAGTGCACGTTTTCTGGTCCACTAGGTTAAACTGCTCAATGCAGCGGAGTAACTTTTTGTTCAAATTTACCACTGGATGTACAGTATATAATATTTGTGCTAAATTGATTGCGTTGCACAGTCATTTGGTTGCAGATGCTTGGACAAAGCAAATTTTTTTTCAATAAAAAAAGACAAGTTCAATAAACCTAAAAATATTGAATTTCTTAATTAGAACTGACAAGTAAGCACTAGTTGCTAAAAAGAAACATCCCATTTCATCAATATATCTTTTACATCAAATTTGGCACTATAACATTGAGCTTTCTGTATTGTTTTAATGAATGATGACTTTGTTTCTATTATACTTAGTTTTAGTTATCACAGTAAAACCCTAGTTTAAACAGCACTATAAATACCAATTAGCCATTATGTATATAACCTAAACATTAGGTTAAATCAGTGGTTCTCAAACTTTTTCTGTCATTCCCCACTTTGGACAAGGGGGAATTTTCAAGCCCCGCCTGTCCCCATCGCCCCAACACAATGCTAATGAAATATGAAACGATCTTAAAATGTTCCAATTTTATTGAAGTAACAAGTAGTATCTAAATACAAACTACCTACATCAAATAACAGCAAGCTCAAAAATAAAGAAAATAAAAACAAAAATAAAGAAAATAAAAATGCAGCTCAAAGATAGAAAAAATTAAAGTGCCACTCTGCAATCTGTTAATAAAAGAAAAGAAGTGAAATCCATCTGGCAAGACAGGTCTATTTATCCCTGCATTAGTGGCTGCAATGAGCCTGTTTTGCATTGCACAGTTTATCAAAACGGGGTTGTCATGCTTTGTTTTCAGTGAAGCAACAGCAGAAAAGCCCATCTCACAGAGATATGATGTGGCAAAGGGAAGAAGAATGCACACAGCTCTCTGCCCGATGAGTGGATACTCCCTCTCCACTCCAAACCAGAAACATGAACATGTGGCTGTGTGAATCAAACGCCGTTATTTATTTAAGATAAAATATTTCAAATTCAGTTATTTATGATCAACCTGCGCCGTCAATCCCGGCGCATGTGCGCTTTATTTGCAGTCTGGACGCTGAGGGTAAACATGCTGTGTCTCTGACTGCAGCGCTGAGAGGGACTCCTGCGATAGCGGGGGAGAACGGGGTTGGGATGGGGGAGGCGCCCCAGGGCAGCACCTGCCGCTGGAGGACAAGAAAAGGAACGATACGTGCTTTCACGTAAGAGTCTCCAAAAGTCGCTAGATTTGTCGCTAGTCGCTTTTTTAAAAAAGAGTCGCTGGAGGGGTCTGAAATATAGCGACAAAGTCTCTGAGTTGGCAACACTGGGGCGCGAAAGTTTATTCCGTTACAAATAATATGCCGACGTCACGTCAATCATTATTTTGGCACTTCAGTTCCAGGTGAAATTTTTCTCATATCTAATGTTCTTTTAATTAGACTGCATGTAGGCTAGTAATGATTACTTTGTGGGTTTGATTGGTCTAAAAAGCGGCAACATACAGCTATAAGGACAGTTTGCTCTCACACGTTCTACATTTATAGTCACACAACACACACCGGAACTTGGCGCGCCCCACCTGTCACGTCTCAATTCCCCACCAGTGGGTCGCGCCACACACTTTGAGAACCGCGGGGTTAAATTAAGATACATTTTGTATCTACCTTCTTTTAAAATACTTTTTATCATTAAAGATGTGGCTTCATATTGGAGATGTCTCGATATAACATGGGACTGTGTTTAGTTAATTTTTTATTTTTATTTTTTTAATGAATAGACCTTGATCTGTATTGGCTAACTCAAACTGGCAGCCTAGTGGTTAGGGCATTGCGCTTGGAATTCAGAGGTTCTAGTTCAAGCCTCACTCCCAGAGTCTGCCACTCTGGGTCCCTGAGCAAGACCCTTAACCCCACACTGCTCCCCAGGCGCTGCCCAATGGCAGCCCAATGCTCCTCAATGGGTTAAAGGGAGAGGGTTTTTTTTTTTTTTCGTTGCTCTGTACTTGTTACACTGTAATGACAATAAATGCTGGAAAACCTGAAAATCTGAAACTGCATCCCAGCCTCAGAATAAAGAGTGAAGCTATGTGCTGTTAAAACATGATGTTTCATTGTTTTTCATATCTCTAAATCCACTGATTAGATTCGTCTGAGATTCATGTCTTATGCACAAGCTCACGATGACAGTAAAGGGAAGAGGAAGAAAAAACCCCGCATGACTTGATCGTCCCGTGGCTCTGACACAGGAGAGAGCTGTGCATCTTCAAAATGCAGCAGAGATACATAAAACCGGTTCAGTTGTAACCGTGGCGCGATAAGCAGCGCAGCGCTCTTTCTTTTTCTCTTTTTTACACTACTTTTGCAGGAGCAGAGGCGTTATAGGAAAGCAGTCGGCATCATCAGCTGTTCGAGGCTGGACTCTCATTGCTGGAAGTCGGAGCTGAAGGAGTCACATGACAGAACTGGAGGCAGAGAGCTAGAGAGGGGAAAAAGGCACAGCATTCAGCCTCGCACCGCCATACTGTAGCCTCTTTTGAGCCATTTCACATTTTTATTGCAACATTTTACTCCCGCTCGGTGAGTACACTTTCCCGATGGCTATTTTTTTTCTGTTTTTCTAAACAAAATATTTTTTTTTTGTCTTCTAAATTTACCCCCCTTCTTTTTTTTTCTTTTTTTTTTTTTTGTTTTTCCTCCTTTTGCTGGTGTTTAAATTGAGCATTTGACGCGCTGGTTTGAAGCATTTTTTTTCTCTCCCCCTCAACAATCAATCCATCCAGGCTTCAAGTTTTCAGCATGCAGTGATTCAGATCGAGAGGGTAAAAAAAGAAAAGGAAAAAAAAGAAACGGGTGCGTTTATCTGTCTCTGAGAAAGCCTCTCACTTTGCTTGCAGTTTTGCAGAAATCCTGCGCATTTACTGGTGGGTTTTGGGAGATTTTTAGTATTTTTATTTTTTTATTTTTATTTTTTGGTTGTTTTGTGTGGAGGTTTGCTGTTGCTGTGGTTTTGGTTTGCATTTTAGCAGTATGGTTTGTGATTTTGATGAAACTCACCGGTGAAATCCCTCGCTTTAACTTTGTTGCTCTTTTCTTTATCTTTTACCGAAAACAAGGGAATCATTTTTAAAGCTCCCCTCTGACGTTTTAACGTGACACTTTTCTTGCAGCTGAGCTCACAGGTTTGTGCTTTTTGTTTCACCTTTTTTTTTTTCTCTCTATTTCCCTGTTGTACTCTTGCAGATGACAGTGTCCAATATTTTTGGATATTATTTTTTTCCCCTACTAGATTCTTGGGAGAGTTCTATTCGTTTTTGCTGTTTTCTATTTCAACGAAGATGAACAGACATTTTCCCTTTTGCAGGTACATAAAACATGTTTGAAATAAAGGATAAGGTAAAATAATGATGCACCTGTGGCTGATGTGTTATTCGATTGTCTGTTAAAGCGAACATTCTTTTTTAAATTTGCAAGATCACACTCAAGTGATTTAGATTTTCACTATTTTAATGGGTGCAAAACTGGCAGCTTATTTATAACATTTTTTTCATCACCTTATAATCTTAAATTTAATTGCTGTTTACTGGGGTATGCAACAGACCTACCTATAGCAGGGGTAGAAATTATGTATTGCTTTTTAAAAGAATGACAAATAGTTTCTCCAACCACATTTACTGCAATACTGCTAAATAAAATCCAGTGTAAAAATGGCTAAAGGAGGCACACAATTTGTAAATAGAGTCAAAGGTTTGCCTTTTGCCAAAAATGGTATATATCTACCACACTGCAAAAATGGAAATCTAAATGAGTAATTTTTGATTAAATTAAGTGCATTTTGTCTTGAATTGAAGAGGTAAATTAGATACTTTGCCAATGGAACAAGACAATTTACATTTAATATAAGAAAAAAATAAATGTTTTGTCTTAGTTCAAGTGCATATTATCCAATTATCTTGTTTTAGGAGTAAAAATATAAATTCCATTGGCAATTCATCTTATTTATCTGCTAAAATTAAGGGTAATAACTAGGGGTGTAAATCACATCCATCATGGCGATTCGATTCAGTATCGATTTCCTGATCCAACGATTCGATTATTTTCGATACTTAAGAATACACCACGATTCGATTCGATTCGATTAATCGATTAATCGGTTAATTTTTTTTTTATTATTATTTATTTTTATTTTTTTTTACACCTTACAGGCTAAACAAAGTTTCAAGTTTGAAATAAATCAATGAAAGCTGTAATATCATTATGCATTTTCTTTAGAAACAACAGCAAATAACAGAAGTAGAAAAGTTGCATCAAAAAATACTGCAAAAATACTGCACAATATCAGTGTAATGAGTTCAATGCAATACCTCGGCTCCAGAGAAACTGTCCAACATATTTTTTTAGAATGTAATAAATATATTCAGGAAAGAGAGATGTTGTGTAGAGAGTTAGACAGGAATAAAAATAAACTACATATAAGGGAATTGTTTCAAAGGTCATCTGGGGATGTAGTTTTTGGGGGTATTTTTAATTTTCTAAGAAGAACGGGTATTTTAGGGAGAATATAATAGTTTGTCTGGTCCATACTCCATTCTGGAAGGTGGCGGTAATGCAGCTATAAGTTGTTTGCCAACCGCCATTAAAAAAAAGAAGAAGAAGAAGGCTCCAGAGTGTTGACGTCACCGCCCCTTGAGAGACGCTCCGCTGCACCTCTCCCAGATTGTAGCTGACCGCAAACAGTGCACCAGACAGGAGGCCGGCTAGTTTTGTTTTTATGACCGAAATTGCGGAAAACAACTCGTGAAGTTTGACCCGCTAGAAGAGCGAGGTGCGCGAGAACGCTGGGAGCCTTTTTCCAGCTGAATCTCCGCTCTTTTTGCCCCATTGTCCCTCCGTCGTCGGACTAAACTCGTCCCCACTTCCTCATCGCCTCGGCCGTATCTAGACCTACAGCGTGTAGCCCAGACCACGCTTCAATACTGAGCATAATTTAAAAATGTCTGTGTGAAGCTTGCTGCAACAAACTGCTGTAAGAGTATAACCAGGAAGCGCGGTAGGAGGGGAAAATAGGTTTAGCGCCACCGCAGCACGGGAGGAAGAATTACGCCCAGGAGCAAATGGATAAAAATAGACCGGAGGAAAAAAAAAAACATTAATCGATTATCTTGCGGACGTGTCGATGCATCGGATCGTCGGCTTTTGGATCGATGCATCGATACAAAACGATTATTATTTACACCCCTAGTAATAACACTCAATTTAAGATTGAGATTGAGATTAAGATTTTTACTTAATTCTAAATGGTTTTTGCAGTGCAGTTATGACCATATTTCATATTAAATGTTTCTATCTACAAAAATGAGGTAAATCGTAGTTGAAATTGATAGAAACAGACTTTTAATCTATAAGGTTGTTCCATAAACTAAATCCCATGTAATTCAAGGCTGCACCTTGACAACAAGACAACAAGAAGCTGGTCACAAGGTTTTCACAATCTCAAAAGTCCACCGTACACTGAAATCTCAAAATCATACAGGACTTAAAAGTCATTTACACTTGATGGGCTCTCCAGTGCAAGCTTTTCTTTCAGATAAGTCATTGCTGAGGTACCATAAAATACAAGTAGAGTTTAAAGAGATAATAGCCAAGGAACTGCAAAAGGCTTGGGAAATAAAAAAATATGTAATTTGTTTTCCTCTTAAAATCTGCAGATGGTGTCCCTGTCACACTGAACATCCACAAACTGCCACTTGAAGCTCATGACCAGACTTTTTTTCTAAATCTTTTCCAAAGAAAATTGCCTTATTAGGCACCTGGTAATTGCATGGCTGTGTAGGTGTTCTCACAGGATTGCCTAATTCATCCCATCCCTCATCCCATTAGTTTTGACATGCTTCTTTGTCCCTCAGAAGAGAAAGTATTCCCACAGTATGATTCTGTAGTGGAGTACATTCTTCCACTTGTTTAGTGGGACCCTTCATGGCTTTTAGGAAACTTCTAACAGTTTTTATTTTTTTTTATTTTTGTTTAAATCAAATTTAGTCTGATCAGTTTTCCTGTCATAGTTTAAGATTACTATCACTGCAGGATGACACCAGGGTTACAACTTCCTACCATAAAATTGTTGAAAAAGGATTAATTATTTGACTCTTCACATGGGATTTCTGGTTTCCGTCATGATATGTTTTGTCCTATTCTTACCGTAGCGACTTTCTCTGCATATTTAGTTGTGATGTCTCTTGCATGTCTTGAGACTACATTTTATATAAAATCCTAAAAAGCATAATGAAAATTGTGGTTACAACTTCATGAAACAGTGAAACAGTTCGTGAGGTATTGGTATTTCTTCATTTCACCATGAGTAACAGGTCTCAGAACAAATAAAAAAGGCTGCACCTATCTTTGAAAAAGGTATTAAAGCTGTTTCTATGTATTTATTAGGAAGGTGCAGAAATAATCAATTACTCTTCAAATAAAGTGGAAGCATAAGTAGCAAGGGCAAATATCTATCCATTCTTAAGTGCCTGTCTTATTGCTGGACAGACTCAAATCGGCTTTTCTAGGCCTGCAGATATGTGAAATACTTCCAAATCTGATTTTGTAGAAAATTAATAGAAGCACAGGCAGGACTAAAAGAGGGGCTTACAGGAAATAAATCCCTCAACAGAAGGGTTGACTTGAGATTAACGGTATGCTGCGGAAAATGCAAAAAAATAAAATAAATATAGAGATTGTATAGTTGTGGTGAAGGAGGGATATGTGAAGTGTGTAACTGAGCTAACATAGGACTTTTTCGGTACATGATAAGTTCATTCCTGTTTGCCTTAAATTCATCTGTAAATGCCATGAAACATCACCAATTAACTCTCCGTATGTATCCAGCTTGACAGAACAGAAGAAAGGTTTCATCGCCATAATATGGGCCCATAAAACAAATGAGAGCGGACCATTAAGTCCGTGTATAGACCGTTAACTCTGGGAGTCATTAAACAGCTCACTGCAGTAGACCAGAAATAGGCTTTTCTTTGCTTTTTTTTTTTAACCCAATGGAATCGACTATTGATAAATACAGAATGCGGGACTCTGCGGGTAAACTTACATTTTTTTGTCAAGGCCAGCTAATTAGAGCGATTGAATTAAACATTGTCTCAAAGGCTGGAAGGCTGTTAGTGTGTATTGATTCTACTGCTGTCTGTTAAATCTATGCAGGTCATAAAGCAGGTGTAGATAAAAAGATGGGGTTGGTTTTAATGCCTTTTAATTTGTGAGGTAATTTGAGAAGCATTGTGTATTACCAACCAAGGCTCACGTGTGTAGACTGACCAAGTTATTCAAAATCCCAGAAAAGAAAAAAATCTCAGTGACTCAGTAGTTGTGGTGGAAAACAGTTGTAGTTAAAGTTTCAGGCTGAGGTTTACAATCACTCCTCTGCACCAATTTAATTGTATTATGCATTTCCTTTAACCCACAGTTGTTGATTCATTCATACAGGCTCTAGGTGGCAAAAATATCATATCCGGATTTTTTTTATTTATAAAATCCTTATTTCTGTTTTATAATGAGCTTACTTGTATTTTTCAGAATAATTTGTAAGTCTTTGGTCAGTGTAGCCAAACCGTTTTTGCATGTAAAGAGTCCTAAAAAAACGGAGCAAAGAATCTTTCAAAACAGGTTTTAAATTGAATAGAAGCAGTTTGCTTGATCGTAAACATTGTAGTATTGGAGAGGCATTTTTTTTGGCCAATCAGGTCATACCACAAGTCAACTACTTTATTCAGGCGGTTGAACCCCCCGTTTTCAATTGTCTTGAATGGAGCCGCATCTTTTAAGAGATCAAAATCAACAGCTTCTGTTGCATCTTTTGTTCTTTTCACACATAATACTATCAAAGTCTGTGTTAATGACTGTTTGGGTCCAGCGACTGCCTCTGGCCGCGATAATCCCGGCTTTCCCCTGACTGTTTGGCTCTCATTGTAGTGATCTCAGAATATTGGACCCAGAATTCGAGGCGAGACAGGCAGTGGGAAAGTTCAAAGCGTTTATTAAACACTAACAGGTGCGCAGGGCTGCTTGTCTGCTGCGGGCGGATCTCTGCAGTGATAGGAGAATACAGGTCAGTGACTGGATGTGGAGCTGAATGCGACTTGGAGCTAGTCACTGACCTGATTCAAAGTTCAGTCCTTTCGCGGAGACCTCAGCAGAATCCAGAAGGGAGGTTTGACTGCAGTTGTGGCGGCCACGCCCCCAGAGTTCCTAGAGAGCGAGCAGCAGACGCCGAGCAGCAACAGAGTCCAGAAGGGAAATCCAAGGCCGAAGTCAGGAGACAGTTCCAGGTTCAGAAACCAGGACCAGATGCGACAAACAGAG